ATTTTTTATTTTATATTTTGTTATTTTATTGTATTTTATTTTTATTTTATTTTACTTTATTTATTGTATTGTATTGTATTTTTTACTTTATTTTTTACTTCTAAAAAACTTTCTCCCTTCCCTATTAATGTGTAGCACATCCATAACATTCTCCATTAATATCATCTACAGCTTGGTATTACCCAGGAAAGCAGTATTTAAGATTGAGTTTGTTGTACCTACCATTTTATTTTTGGTAAGCTGGGATGCTTAGAGAAGAAATAAAATCTGTGAAACAGAGAAACTGTGTGTGTCTGCACCTGCCTGAGGGATGAAGCAACTGTTACAGCAGAAAGAATCTTAAGACAGAAAAAACGTTGCAGGTGCTGTTGCATGGAGTCAGTCACAAATGGAAATCTTATTTAAATGGGTCTGTTCAGGCAGAAATTTCTGTTTAATTTTGGTTTCATGAGTCTGTTCTTACCCAGACCAGCACCATTTAGCCTGGAGAAGAGAAGGCTGAGGGGAGACCTCATCACCACCTCCAACTGCCTCAAGGGAGGTTGTGGAGAGGTGGGTGCTGGTCTCTTCTCCCAGGGGATGGGGGATAGAACAAGGGGAAACGGCACCAAGCTGTGCCAAGGGAGGTTCAGGTCAGAGCTAAGGAGGAAGTTCTTTCCTGAGAGAGTCGTCAGAAGCTGGACCAGGCTGCCCAGGGAGGTGGTGGAGTCACCATCCCTGGATGTGTTTAAGGAGCGGGTAGATGAGGTACTTAAGGATATGGTTTAGGGGGTAGACAGGAACGGTTGGACGTGATGATCTCAGAGGGCTTTTCCAACCGAGCGATTCTGTGAGTCTGTGATTTGTTTAATTTCAGTTCTAATCAACGTGCAGGCTAAACAAAATGGCCAAAAATGATTACACAGCCTGGTCTTGGGGAGGCGGATCTTCAGCTGCAGCAGTCACTTTCTAAACACAGAGGCTGCCGTGGGCCCTTTTTTGGGAGCTGGTGCAGCCACCGTGATTTTGGGTGTTGGAGATGCTGGGTGGAAAATGTGCCATAGCTGCCAGTGACCCGTTGCTTTCCAGAAAATGGCAAAGTGAGCTCAATTTATGCCATCCCACGAGGGGTTGGTTAGTTATTAACCACATTAGGTGTGAGTTTGGTAGTTCTTCCTCCCCTGGGGATAAAGCTGCTTGGTTACTGCGGCTATCAGGATTATTCTTTCCATGTTAAAACCAAGTACTTCCATGCTAAGTCTTTTTACCCTTAAAAAAAATAAATTAAAATGTACTGTGTGTGTACTTTGCCACTGTGTGTGTTCAGGTCAAACATGTCACGATTACCACGCCGTGACAATTTGGCAATTTATAAATAGCCTGATTTGTCATCTAATATTGGGGAGTCACGAGCAAAGTGACAGTGTATGAAAACACAAATGTCAGCTCTGTTTGCAGCTTTAAATCCCCCTTCTTGCATATTTTTTGAAGTTATGGGAGTTTGTTTCTGAAGTATAGCTTATTTATGAATATTAGTTCCTAGACATTTTGGGGTTTAAAATGTGTTTCATCTTACCAGAATGTTCGTATATCATTGTGTTATTTGATGTGCAGGCAGAGTTAGGAGAGCTGGAAAGAGAATTAGAAAATGGGGAATTTCTCTAGCTGATTTTCAGTGGGATGTCAGTAGATGTTGTGTGGACATGTCTAGAGGAAAATACACTATTAAATGTATACCTTTAGACGTAGAGAATTAAATTTCAGGGGTTTTTTATACTCTTCCAGTGACAGACAGACCCATGCTGCAGAAGGAAGTTCAGTAAAAATGTATCTTTTAAACATCTTTACCAGTGAATTGTAAATAATTTCATTTTGACTTGCTTGGTCAGTTCAGTTTCTGGCGTTTAAGCGACAGCTTACAGTAATTTTTCATTCCGTGGAAATGATTATGAGCAGGGTGTGGTTCACTGTAACTGTTATTACCCTTGCTCTTGGTTTTTTATAGCGCTGAAAAATGAGATGAAAACCGAAGCCCATACATCATGTGTGTCTTCAGGAGAGGGTTGGTTAAAGTGATTATGCTCTGAACAGGAAGTGGTAACGCTGGAAGAGGGAGCTCACAGCATTTGAGGATGATAAAATTATAAAACCTAAACGCAGCAGAGAAGCGAAGGGTGCATCTCTCGGCCTTCAGTAGGAAGCGAGGACGATGCTGGCCTCAGGCAGTTGATGCTGTTGAGATAGGGGGCTTTTTAGTAAACAAAAGATAGCAAAAGCAGCAAAACCAAGGATCATTTCTCATCGTGTTTCCTGTGGGATAACGTGTCTGTGTTTATCAGTCTTGGTGTCCCTGGGGATGCTCTCATGGACCCAGTACGTTGTGTGTTTGCAGTACCATTGCTGGGATCAGCCTGGGCTTGGCTGGATAAATAACCAGGACCCTTGACTTTAATTTAAGCTACTTAGGTTTGATAACATCATTTTTCTTATCTTTTTATTTCTTAATTTCCAGTAAGAAGCATGTTTATTCAAACCCAGGACACACCAAACCCAAATAGTTTGAAGTTTATTCCAGGGAAGGAAGTGCTGGAGTCCAGGACTATGGAGTTTTCCACGCCAGCGGCAGCGTTTTGCTCACCTTTAGCAAGGTATTACTAAACACATCGTAATTTCTTTGGGGGACGCTAATGGGCAGTGTGGCCACAACTGACGGTTTTAATCACAGCTTCCTCCTTATATTGAGCTTGGTTGGATTTAAGTTTTTAATGCCACTTAAAAAATAATCAAAGCTGGGAAGATTATCATTACCAAAGTGGTCTTTCTGTGTGTCTGTACGAGGTTCTGTGTCTGGATTGAATGGTATTGTAAATCAGTGTTCTTGAACAGTTCCGGCATCACCACTGAGACCTCCTGCCCTGATTTTGCAAAACTTTCATCAGAATACTCTTAAATTGAAGCAGTTACTTGGAAATCATGCAGCTTCTCAGGATGGGGAAGTAGACAGCGTAAGGAAGTGAATATTCCCCAGATACTAGGGATTACATGCAGTAGCTTGCTTGCTTTGGCACATGCTGCTGATAACCTGGGCACTTCCAAGCCAGTGGAGTTCATAATATTTCAAAGGAAAGCCAGTTCTGGTCCACTCCTTCAGGCTGGATCTATAACGTGTCTTGAGAGTTTAGCTTTCAGTACCAAAATGCATAATCTGGAGTAAGAATCACTGTGCAGATAATTGATTTGCATAATTTTGGTATAGAAGGGGTTTGGAGCGCCGTTACGAGCCTGTCTGGGAATATTTGGGATATTGGGTTGTCATTGCTTTGACATTAACCTCTGAAAAGAAACTCCACCTATTACAGGAGTGGAAGGGCTTCAGTCTAGGTGTGAGCTCCAGAAATGCTGCAATAGGTTACCCCTGGAAATCCCAATTTAATTCATCTTTGTGTGTGTTAGAAGAATGTTGTGCAAAAGCAGGAGCCGTTTCACGTGCTGGTCTCTTCGTGGGTTATCAAACGCGCAGCTCTGGCGTTTCCAAAGGTCTCTTGCAGAGCTGCTGGAGAGCAAACAGGAATTCACAAGCGCAGCTCTGTGACTTAAGGTAATAAATACGACCTGAAAGGTTTTGGAGGCCATCGAAACACGTGAGCAGCGCGCAGGAGCTGTGGGATCTGATTATGCCAAAGGGCAGCGGGTTGCAGAATGCAGCTGCCTGTCAGTGGCTTTTTCTTGTCATACATCTGCAAAGAGATGTTTTCATCAAAGATGGATGTGCCAGAATGATAAATACTGGGCAGGTTAATGGAAAAACGTTATATCATTAAACCCTGGATTATGCTTTTTGTAAATGGAATATTTATTTTTAGGGGGAATATTAATTTTCCAAAGAGGTAATACAAGCTTTCTGAAGAGCAGAAAAGGGGGGTGGAATTATTTAATTGACCTAGGGTGGTTTGGTGCACTTGCATCACTTCATTGTTTAAAGAACTTTGAAATGCAGTCGGTTTAGTGATGTAAAAGCCCAGTACGTGTAGAACTGTTTCATGTGTGGAAATTCTCTCAGGTGGGTATTGTGAAATCTCTTCTGCATTTTTCATCACACACCTTTGTGAGAGGGTTTCCAGTTCCTTCCTTCATGGCATTTCTGATATTTTCCAGTCTTGCAGGACAATATATTTTATTTTCTTTCTTTTCTTTCCTTTTTTTCTTAATTACAAAAGCACTCTTACAGCCATGTGCTGTATTTGACCCTGGGTGCTCCCTACTTTTAATGCATATATTTATTTACACTCTTCAGGAGTTGCATCACTTATTTATTCTGTAGATGAATTTGTTGAATTTTATTTGTGGAAATAAATCTTTACATTCTTATTCTGCTTTTTATACTTAAAATATTGTGAAGAATATGCTCTTTCCTATCATCCTAAGTCCCTGTGTTGCTTTGGGCATGTGCTAATTTACTACCTGGTTGTTGGATGCTGTATGGAACATCTCAAGCAATTTTCTATGAGTGTTGAGCCTCAATAATAATTCAGATCATTCATGTGCCATACAAATGACCAAAACTCAGTGTAGTTCACAAAGTGAGTTGATGTGTCGAAGCCTTGTGCACTACTTGGCACTAATCCTTTTATTTAATAGCAGCAGAACAGAAGAACTGTTTTTATTGAGCTCAGTTATTTTGGATAACTTGCTTTAATCTAAGGAAAATTCCTCATATTTGCAGTACTCCTGCCTGAAACAATAGGTACCTACTGGTTTTGATGTTGGTCAAATACATTTTTATATACAGATTATAATTTTGAGTAACTCTTTGACACGTCTATGTAGAAATATCTTGTGAAATATGTTCAGTTTTGCTATGCAAGTTGTTTCACAGCAGGATCTCCTGGCTCTTCCTAAGCTGTAGGTGAAGTAACTCCTCTCATAATGGTTCTGGTTTTAGTGTTTTGGGGTTTTGTTATCTAGAAATACATTCTAGAACTTTTTTTTGTCTGTGACAGATTAAATAAATCTTTAGGACTTTATTTGAAATATGTGTGCATTTTTTTCCTAACAGGCAGTTATTCAGAATTGAAGGAGTTAAAAGTGTTTTCTTTGGACCAGACTTCATTACCATCACCAAGGTAAGCAGAACAGAAATTCAGATGTACTAGAAGATGAGCTGAGATTCAGCTGTCTGATAGATGACCACGGAGAAGATTCAGTCAGATTTTGGATCATACAATCACAGCATGGTTTGGGTGGGAAGGGACCTCAGAGCCCCCCCAGTCCAACCCCCACGGGCAGGGACACCTCCACCAGCCCAGGCTGCTCCAAGCCCCGTCCAACCTGGCCTTGGGCACTGCCAGGGAGGGGGCACCCACAGCTTCTCTGGGCAACCTGGGCCAGGGCCTCACCACCTCAACAGTCAACAACCTTTTTCTGATATTCAGTCTAAATCTCCCCTCTTCCAGTTTAAAACCATTCCCCCTCATTCAGTCACTACCTGCCCTTGTAAAAAGTCCCTCCCCAGCTTTCCTGTAGGACCCCTTCAGGTCCTGGAAGGTCGCTATAAGGTCCCCCCAGAACCTTCTCTTCTTCAGGCTGAACAGCCCCAACTCTCTCAGCCTGTCCTTGTAGGGGAGGTGCTCCAGCCTCTGAGCATCTTTGTGGCCTCTGGACCTGCTCCAAAAGCTCCATGGTCTTTTTGTGTTGGTGTCCCCAGAGCTGGACATAATGAAAGTACCAGAGGCAGTGTTCACAAGCAGCATAAAGAGAATTGCTTTTAATATAAAATAAAAAAAAGGCAATGCATGAATTAGAAATAGATTGCTCAGAGAAGTTAAAGATTCTTTGATGCTGGGAATGGTTGGTGTTGGACTGGATGAGGCCCTGTGGAACGTGGGAGCTGTCTCTGCGTGGATCAGGACTTGATGGCCCCTATGGGTGGCTGTGTGGCCAGGACTGTGTGCATTGAGGGTGGTGTGGTGTTTGCTCAAGGTGTGGAGCTCGTGTCAGCAGAGATAAGGTGCTGCGTAGTCACTGTGTAGTTATGCTCTTGCTGTGTGAAGAGCACAGGGAAATTCAGTGAATGATAATTTGGCTTGAAATTAAATGGGACCAAACAGTTGTGAATCTCTGAAACAGTTGTGTCAAATAATGTGTTTAGGAAACTTGCTTTTTCACCTCTTTTTACCGTATATTTTAATAGTTCTTGGCTTGCAAACAAGGGAATCTTTCTGTTGATGCATGAATTGAGTCTTGCAGAACTTTTTTGGCAAAGCTGGACAAAACTATAAAATCAAATCTGTGCAGTACACATGGGAGCCTGTTATGATATTTTCAACGTAAGAAAAATCTCTGTGTAACTTATTATTTGAAGGCAGATACTCTGTTTTTTTTAATTTTCCTTTTCTTCTGACTCTCACAGGAGAGTGAAGACCTGGATTGGAATTTACTGAAACCAGATATTTATGCAACTATAATGGATTTCTTTGCCTCTGGCTTACCCGTAGTCACTGACGAGGCCCCTAGGACAGACACAGGTAAATCAGACTCTTCAGGAAGTGTGTCTGTCTTTGGGGTTAGTGTTTGAGACACTGAGAAGAGCCTCTGCTTGTCCCTCAGAAAAGCATGAGAGAATTTAAAGTGACAGCTGCTAAAATGAACACAGAGGAGAATTTGCAGAACGTGTATGTTCTAATGAAGCAGCATTGGGCCTTTTGTTTGCTCATTTGTAACTCACCAAACTTAAACATTATTTTTTCTGGTGTTTTAAGGAACATTTTGACTATTGAATTCCTCTGTTATGTCTGGATTTAATTTCAATATTAACGTAGGCCTTATTTTATTTGAAAAAGCTGTCGTGAAAAATTTGTCTGCGAGGCTGACGCTGAGCTTAAAATTGCATCCAGAGCTGCTCAACCCAGACGTGCTCATAATTTTGCTGCTGTTGAAATGTTTAAGTTGCTAAAACGTCCCTCTGAGGACCCTGCCTTAACCCGTGCACCCGTACTGAATGTTGGTTGTCCCTTCCTTTAGAAGGTGATCCTGCCACTGCGCGAGCCTTTGCCTGTTGAGCTCTGCACCAGTGCTGCTTTTTGTTGTCCAAAGCCCGAGATGTAAATCAGGATAATGCAGAAGAAGATATTTAATCAGAATTAAGACTTCTGCCTTTTGGTTTCAGTAATCTCAGCAGTATTTTAGTGCTGTTTCATTGTGCTGCTGTGGATCTCCGGTGTCAGTAATCGTATCGGTATTCTCTCCAAGTTCTGATTTGCGTGTTTTTCTCTTCCCAAGCTGCATCGGAAGAAGATGACGAAGTCGTGCTGATGATTAAAGAATTGCTGGATACAAGAATAAGGTAAACTGGGTACATCACTGCTAGATTGAGTTAGTTTTGGGGTTTATTTAGGGAAAATGAATAAATACCCATGTTTCTCTGGGTACGTGTGATTTCATGGTTCAGTGTCCAGTGTGAGGGTTCAAAGTGCAAAACTGGCCAGAGCTGGGAATGCTGTTTCCTCTGACTGAACATTTTCTATCTGCTTTCCCTGTTTAAGCAGACTGTGCTGAGCAGAGTCCTTATTGCTGAGTGATTTCAGAGCAGTGCATGGACTTACCCTCTGTAATGCATTAAACAGGTCCTTGGGATCTTACCAGGCTCTTTAAATAGTGAAAACAACACAGTCTTTGCCTTTACTTTTCCCCCCCTCTGTTGTATTAATCTCCATTTTAATTGTACTTGTCCTTTCCATCCAATTATTCCAAAGTATTTGATACTATAAAGGAAAATTCACTGATGGTTTTCCCTCGCTGCCTGGGCTTCAGTGGATTTTGTCCTTGCGTTCGCTTGTAATTTTATTGGTGCTTTAACACAGCTTGAATTTAGAAACTGGTGGTAACTAATGAAGCCTCAGGAGTGGCTATGGATCATGTTGTTTACCTGAAGTATATTTTTGTGCTCATTAATTGCCTTCCCCAGTGAACTGAAAGGAATAAGCAACTTGATATTTTAGATGTGGGGGAAAATGTCTGATGTGTTTCTGAAGCCCTGGTGTCTGATGGCGACATCTTCGCCAGTTCACAAATTCCAGGAACCAGAAACTCTTATGTTGGTCAAAATCAGGGAATTCAGTTTAATTTCACCAGAAATTATGATGAACTTGGGCTTTTAAATTTGATTTTGTAGATGCTGCATTTTAAAAGTGACATTTAAAAATACCATTGTGGATATCTTGCAGTTCACATATGGTACTGGGTGATTGTCCTGAAAGGAAAGGGGCAGAAGAGCAGAAATAAACTGGAACGTTTTACAGAATTTCTCCCCAAATCTCTGATTTTCCCCACCTTTTTCTTTCATTTCCTTCCCCCTGTGCCCCTTGGTGGACCAAGAAGCTGTTGATGAGGATATCAGCAGTGGTGTATCTTCATTTCCTAGCAGGGTGGTTTACAGAAGCTGTGTATAAACCAGTGGTACATACAGAGCATTTCTTGTTTAATCGGTCAAAACTGTGTGCAAAGAAGGGGCAGGGTGGAGGGAATGTCGATCTGAAAAGTCCTGTAGTGTGTTATAAAAGTTAATTTCAACTATAGAAAAAGGGAATTTTTAGTCATGTTCTTTGGCTTCGGGGAACGGAGATAATTTGCTCTGGTGAGTTGTTAGTGAATGTGTCAGATTCATGGATTATTCTCAGGAGCGTGGCTCTCAAAAGGGTTATTTTGGAAATCAGTATAAAGAGCTTCTGTTAGAGTAACTTGAGGGGTTTAGCTTGGTCTGGAAAAATGTTGCTATGGGGACACGGTTGCAATGCTGGGCATTTGCTGCTTGCAAAAGCAGACCAGTCTGCAGAAACACTGGCAATACTGGGGTGTGATCTTATCGGGTGCTGGTTTCTTCACCCGCTAGCAGGATTGCACTTCATATGGTTGGAGCTTTCTTCTGCCCTGTGTAACTATGATGAACTGCATTGGAAGCACTTAAGGACTTGTTACTGCTGCCCTGAGTCAGGTAATGGGCGCACACACATCGTGTGGTGGGACGCACACCTATGGTGTTTGGCTCACACAGAATC